TGAGAAATGTCCTCAATTATATTTCTGTAATAAATAAAATGCAAGTCAGCATTTCACCGAAGAGCACGTCAGAAAAAAAAACTCTATAAGGGACTAAAAAAATATCCCACGCTTTCAGTTTTCTGACAGTCTCACTGAATTGAACGATGAGATCTAGACTAAGGTGGTGCTTCTCAAGTTTGTCTACTGGAGGATATCCAACAACAGGGAGCAGCCCTAAGGCACGTGGGGCTACAGCTGAGGCGTCTGCCACACTCACAGCATGCCTTTGGCATTGTCATCTTCAAACGCTTACGCGAATTCTTTATTTGCTTCGTATAAAATAACGTTTTCAACTGCTGACCCCTGGAGGCAGCCGGCCTCAGGGAGTTTCCTGACTCCTCGAGTGAGTAAGATGCTGTTGCATTAAGTGTCTGTTTTTGGAGAATCAACTGAACTGAAACGAGCTGACACTGAATTCGGCCACCGGTTTCTTCTTCCTTGTGAGAGGACAGCGTTTCAGGAGCCCAGGCTCACACACACGGGTAGGTACACAGCTCGCTCTCTGAGCTCCGTTAGGGACGGCCCACCGCGGTGTGTGCCCTGTCAGGCGGCCCTGGCGGGAGCTCGGATCCCCGGGGTGCCTTCTTCCTGAGTCCCCGGCCACACCCAAGTCTGGGACGACTCAGTACACTCTCCCCTTCCCAGTCAAGAAAGCTCACTCATTACCTTCTTCACTTCTTTGGCACTAATGCAGTAACTTTCATTCCATGTAAATTAGAGATTTCTAGGAAAGATGGTAATACGCATACATCGTTTAAAAAAATACGTCTCCCCAATAAACACTGAAATGAGCGAAAGGAAGCAAAATTAATGAAGAAAACTCCGTCTACTCTAAAATTTTACAAGCCCCATCCTGCATTAATTTAAATAAACACATTGCAAGCCTTCATCCAGCTAAACCAAAACAAAACGAAACAGAAACCCAGGTGTGGGAGTGGTAAAACACATGTTGCAAGACACCGGCAGTAAAGGAGCCAGAGAAGGCTCCTCCACCTCAACAGGAGGACGGGCAGGAAGAGGAAACGGTCGTCCCGGAGGTCTGCCCCTCGATGGGCGGCCCCTGGGTCAGACCCGTCAGCCTCGCGCCGCCAGGGCTCTGCGGGGAATGGTGGTTTCCAGCACTGACGCCTGCCAGCAGCCACAGCGAGAAGGCCAGTGGCAGGGCCACCCACACCCCTCTCGGCTGCCCTCAAGCTGCCGAGCTACCTTCTGTCCAGTAAATCCCCACTTTGCTAAAGCCGGACAGAATTCGTGTCTGCTGGTGTCGCCAGGAACTCTAACAGACTCAACAAGCATGATTCCTTTTGCACTTAACAACACAGCTCAGAGACATATAAAACAGAAACTACACAAACCGGAAGATAAATGGATAAATCCTCAAGACCTGCATGGACTTTGTGACACCTGTCTCAGAAAGTCACAGACCCAAAAGATTTTTTTAAAAAAAACTAAAGGAAAAAAAGATTTTGAGCTTCGTGTCTACGTAAGTTCTTAATTTAAGCTAATTACAATTAAATAAAAGTTAAAAATCAGCTCCTCAGTCTCACACTTCAAATGTGTCTAGTGGTTTCTGTATTGGACACTGCAGATTACAGAACATTTCCTTTATCACAGAGTTGTACTGGACAGAGCTGATATCAAGAAGATGTGGTGTGTATATATTTCTATTCCATGGAATATTATTCAGCATAAAAAAGAAGGAAATCCTGCCACTTGCCCCCCAAGGATGAACCTGGAGGACATCATGCTAAGTGAGACAATCCAGACACAGAACAACAAGTACCACGTGATCTCACTTGCAAGTGGGATCCAAAGTAATCCAACGCACAGAAGCAGAGCGCAGAAATGGCGACTGCCAGGGCCTTGGGGGAGGGGACATGGGGAGACACTGGTCAAAAGCTACAGACCTCCCGCTATAAAGTGAAGACGTTCTGGGGGTCTAATACGTGGCTGGTGACTCTAGTTAACACTGGGAATTCCCTGGCGGTCCAGTGGTTAGGACTTGGTGCTTTCACTGCCGTGGCCCAGGTTCAGTCTCTGGTCAGGGAACTAAGATCCTGCAAGCCGCGCCACGTGGACAAAAAAAACAAAAAAAGTACTGTATTGTATACCTGAAATTTGCTAAGTGTTCTCCACACACACACACACACACACACACACACACACACGCACGTAACCATGTGGGGTGATGGGTGTGTGAATTAGCTTGATTGTGGTGATGGTTTCACAGCGTGTGCACATCTCAATCATCACATCGTGTACCTTAAATGTATACAATTTTTATTTGTCAATTGTGCCCCAATAGAGCTGGAAAAAGTAAATACTCACTTCCATACCTAATTTTGTAACATGTTCCTTAAAGAGGGCCTCCCAAGTCATATAAGCTTTGGGTCCCACAGAGCCTGTCTCCTCCTGCCTTATCAACAAGCTGCAGGAAACACAGTCCCACCACGTCCTTCTTCATTCGGAAGGGCTCAGTGGTCTCGAGCACAGGCTTTGAGGATCGCAGATCTGGGTGGGAATTCCGGCTCTGCCACTTCTAGCCGTGTGCCTGTAGGCAGGTCCTCTGAATCTTAACCCTTAGTCTGAAAACAGGGGTAAACTGGTGCTTGCCCCACAGGGTGATGTGATATAACATCTCAGCGCACCCGGCTCACGGTGAGCACAGCACACGCAGCCCACCGTAAGCACACAGTGAGTGTCAGCTATGACTATTTTTTGGTGTTTTTGGAGTGAAGGTTCATTCAGGAAATGCAGGTGAAAAAGGGCATTTTCAGACAAAAGATGAAGGAGTTTGCCGTAACAAGACATCCCCTACAGTATGTACTTCGGCATAAGGAAAACTGACCCTGATGAAAAGTCTAAGATGCAGGAAAGAATGAAGAGCAATGCAAGTGTAAATACGCGGGTCATTCTGTGAGCATTTACCGTACAGAACAATAATAATAATGTCTTTCAGAGTCTACAGATAGAATGAAAATGCACATCAACAAAGGCTAATAAATTGGGAGGGAAGTAAATATAATTAAACTATTCTAAGGCCTTCCAAGAGGATGGTCAAGGTATTGCTTAATCAGATCTTGGTAAGTTGGGTGTGCAAGTTTTAATCTAGGGTAACCCCCACCAAAAGAATAGAAATGGGGGTGAACTCCCAGGAGATCCAGTGGTTAGGACACAGTGCCTTCACTGCCGGGGCCCAGGTTCGATCCCTGGTTGGGGAACTAAGATCCTGCAAGCCACACAGCTTGGCCAAAAAAAAAAACGAATACAAATGGGGTTTATAATTTCTGAATCAGTGGAGGAGAAGAAATGGAATGATAAAAAACACTCAGGGGCTTCCCTGGTGGCGCAGTGGTTGAGGGTCCGCCTGCCGACGCAGGGGACACGGATTCGTGCCCCGGTCCGGGAAGATCCCACATGCCGCAGAGTGGCTGGGCCCATGAGCCATGGCCGCTGAGCCTGTGCGTCCGGAGCCTGTGCTCCGCAACGGGAGAGGCCACAACAGTGAGAGTCCCGCGGACCGCAAAAAAAACCCACTCAGTCCAAAAGACAGCATTAAAGGGGAAAAGAACGAGTGAGACAAGGACGGTTCACAAATGGGATGTTAGATTTAAACCAAAATATATCAGTTATTGCATTAAATGTAAATAGACTAAATGTTCCAGTTAAAAGTCAAAGATTATCAGAATGTTCTTTAGAATTGTACCTTTGCTAGTTATGATATTAGTCAAAAGAATTCTAATGGAACTTATTCTAGAGTAAGAGGGTCAATTAAATGATAAATTTATAAATGATAAAATTTGTATTCACTTAATAACAGACTCAAAATGTGTACACTAAAAATTGACAGAACTAAAAGGAGAAATAGACAAATCGATAATCTTAGTGGGATAGCTTCACACAGCTCTCTGAGTAACAGACAGAACAAGCCCACAAAAAGCAGTAAATATGTAGAAGATTTGAATGACATGACCTAATGGACATATATGAACAACTATAAAACCCACATCCTTTACAAGCGCACATAGACCATTTTCAAGTATTGACTGTTATATGCCAGGACAGGGCACTTTTCCATACATTATCCCCTCTTATCATCATAAAGTTGTGAAACAGTCGTCTGGGCTGGAAATCTCCCATCTGCCCTCCCAACCCACTCACCCCTTCTCTATCTTACTCTGTGTCCTGCAAAGCCGACCTGTGTGGGCTGCATTCACAGGCTCCTTTCCCCTCTGGCCTCTGGTTGGGTTTAGCCAGAATTGTTGGGAGAAAGAAGGGTAGGATAAGGGCATTTGTTCTCCCCACCCCTCTGCGGGGGCTGCCGGGAGGGTCCCTGGGGATGGCTAAGCTCCAGGCAGCTGCCCTCTCCAAGTTGCTGTTCCCACCCCTTCCCCGCGGCCTTCCAGGTGGCAATGGCCCAGCTGCTCTTAGTCCTGGGGGCTGTGCCATCCCTCGTGGGTCTTCCTAAACGCTACTCACACCTTTCCAAACTCTCTTAAATTGCCCAGTTAGACTGTGCCATCTGTCTCCTGCAAGGACCCTGGCTGTATCCCAGCATCCTATCTGCAGTTAAGGAAACGTAAGCTCAGGGAGGCCAGTGACTCACACGAGGTCGTGAGACCTCCTCCTACAGGTGCAGAATTAAGGACAGTCTCCCCCCTTGCTGGCATCTTTAATAAATCGTTAACACGACCCCGGCACACCCCTTCCACTTGAGACAACAGTATGCCCTGTCAGTGTGTCTGAATAACTCCTGAATGTGAGTGGTCACGTGGCCTTTCTTGGTTTCTTAAACATCAGGAACACTGTGTCTTCCACAGTACAGTATTCAGCTGTTCGTTAATTCATTTCTGCTGCATAATACCTTTTAGAGGAAGTTGTTTAATAGCAATGATGACCTCTGAATTTAATACTGTGTGATATTTGATATTTTGTTCTCCTCCTTTGCTGTTTTTCAGATCGCCACGAAATTATCTCCAAAGAGATATTGGAGCTGGACCCCTGGGAGAACCAGTGGAATGTCGTAGCCGTCAACGCCCTCATGCACGACAGCTATGATGTCTGCCTGGTGGCAAAGAAGAATCCCCGCGACCTCGTCCCCCCACCTTCAGAGTCAGTGGAGGAGGGTGGGGGGCACTGAGGTCTGTGTCTCTGTGGGACCCCCAAGGTGTCTGCCAAGGAGGCACTAGGGATGGAGAGCCCACAGCATGTGTGGGACGTGTGCATTGCATGCGTCGTGACCCGGTGCAGAGCGGCATGCGCTGGGCGGTGCAGGGGGTGTGTGCAGAGTCCGCCCTCCGGTACCCAGGCTTTGCAGTGTCTTCCCCAAGCTTGGAGGGTAAGGATGGAACCGCCTGCTTCACCCACAGTTGAGCATAATCAGAAAACAGCCACTCCCAAAATATAATTTAGGGATGACATTTAAATAACACATAGAAATCCATCTATTTTACTTACTGTCTATGCTTCTGGAAGCCCAGTGGATTCAAAGAATGCATTTTGGTAGCTATTCTTCACCAATTTCCCAGGAGTTTCACATGCACAAGGCTCTTGTTTAAGCAGGAACAGTCGGTAAATTCCCTAGAGCTTTCCCAGGGGAAGACCATCCTAGACTGAGACACTTTCTTCAGTGCAGAGCTGTGTAACTGTCATGACCGCTCCCCGTGTCCCCAGGTTCCAGCTGCTAACCCAGGCAGGAGGGGACAGATCCATGGAAGCTGGAGCCAGTTGGAAACCTGCTTCTGCCACCACAAAACAGGACCAGTCAGACCCAAGGCGAGCTGTCGCGAGTAGGCTAGACTCTCAGAAGGCAGGGCCACACCTGTGTCTTTGCAGGTGTACCCCAAGTGCCCATAGCAGTGCCTGGCACATGCGTGGGTCTTTAGGTGGCCAGCATGGGGATGCCCCTGCTCCAGCCACGTGATCACAGTGGAAGCTGCTAGTTTCCCTGGATGGGGTTGGGGGGGTCCTCGTGGGAGGGCCGTGACTTTTCTAGATGCACTGAGTTCGGGATCTAGGCTCTCGTCCCAGCTCTGCTTCTTAGCACGCTGCATGATTCTGGGCAGCCCAGCCTTTCTAAAGCCTTATTCTCCTCCCATGCAGAATGGGAAGGAAAGTGCTCCCTAGGGTTGTTGGAGAACTGAGTGAGGAAGCGCTGAGCACGGTGCCTGCGAGACGCAAAACAGGAAGCGTTCTTTAGCTGCTGATACTTTCATTATCATTATCGTCGTAATCAGCATCCCCCGAAGCACAGTGCCCAGAACACCCGGGCTTGGCATGGCATCTTGGGGTTCCAGGGAGAGATGTGCATGGGGTCTGAGATTGCTCTGAATCCCCGGCCCCTCCAGGTCCAGGTGGGGTACGGATAACCCAGGGTTTCTTTTCGGCCCTGGATGCTGCTCCTCTGACCCATATTGGTAACTCTGCCCTCCTGTTGTTGGATAGCGTGAGAGATTCTGCCTCAAACATTTCCCTGTCTTCCCTGTTCTCACCTTAATTGAAGGCTGTCCCAATGTGGCATGGGAGGACTCATAAAACTGGGACTGTCTGCTAGTTCTGTTCCTTGTGAGACAGGATGGTTAGGCGCTGAGCAGGGGGCACAGGGGAAGCGGTCCGGATGCTGGCAGAAGCTGCAGCTGCCAGTCACGCCGGCTCAGTCTGTGCTCGTCAAGGAGGCGTCACTGTTCTCACTGATTGACTTTATAATGAGCAAATGCTCTAAAAATGAATATTAAATAAAATGTCACTGATGGAAGGTCGCTTTCATTTTGGTTTTCGTCCTGCAATTCAATGTAATTTTCATCTGAGGAGGGGACGCTCAGCACCTCCTGGGCAGGAACCAGAGTCGGGGATGACCAGCCTCAAGGACATCGGGAGCGAGGCCCAGAGGCCAGGACGTGTGAGGTGGGCAAGGGCGGGAGGGGGTGCGGTTCCCAGGGCGGCTGAAGCACCAGAGGAAGCCGAGGAAGCCAAGACAAGGAGATGGGGCCACAGAGAAGACCCCCAAGGCCACCCCAGGAGCCCGGCCTTGGTGCGTCAGCCACACGTCTCCCGGCGAGGAAGTCCTTTAAGACCGTCCCCCACAGTCCAGTGTATTCGAGTAGGGTGACAGCAGACACAGCGGATGGGCAGGAGGCCTCGCGGGAGCCCGCGTCTCAGCTGAACCAGCCCCATAGCAGTGGGAGCCGTGCAGGGCCAGTGCAGCTGGAAGGAGGGCATCAGCAGTCTGCCGCGAGTCAGAGTCAGAGATGACGGAAGTTTGAGCACAAGAGCACAGTGGGTCAGCCAAACCGAAAGCCCAGAAAATCTTTCCAAGGGTGGTGCCCCCTCCACCAGGGGTCCTTAGAGAGAGCCCCAACCGGATGGCCTATGCTGTCCACCCCAGGCCCTGCTGGAGCACCAAGAGAGAATAGCTGAGGGGTGCACAGTCAAGGCGCCCCACTCCCCCGCCAACACCACACAGCCCGCCGGGGGCCCCGGCTCTTCTTGTTCCCAGCTCACTGGCCACCGCAATCCCGCTCCTGTCTCCGGCGGCCAGCTTAGCAGAACACGTGGACCATCCAGGGAAGGAGACATAAGGGAGCTCTATGGAGGCGCTTCGGGGAGAGGCCTTCTTGCTCTTTGACAGACGTGGAGAAGACGACGTGGGCTCTTCTGCTGAGACTTTTCTAGGCTGCGGGGCCCTGGAACTGCAGACTGCGCTGCCGTGAGGAGCGGGCTGCAGCTGGTCCAGAGAGCCGGGCGGGATGGGGGATGGGAAGGCCCTGGTCCTGGGCGACACAGCAGAGCCACAGAACAAACCAGCCACAGGACTTCCTGCTAGACGCTCACTGTTAGGATAAATGTTCCTCATTGTTCAGGCTGCCTGGAGTTACTTGCAGCCCGAGATTTCCGAACGATACTCGAGCCTTCCTCTGCCAAAGTCTCTTTTTCCTGGGATGACACATGTCACCTCTGCCAAAGGGGAGGGCTCAGCCCTGGTCCCTGGGACGTCTGGTGATGAGGTGCTTCGGTTCTTGCAGTGAGGAAAGGTGTGCACGCCTGGTGAGTGCCCGTGGTTCACGATCCCGAGCCATTTCTTAGCTATCTCTAGGATATTTCTTTTCTCTCTGAACTTTGACGTTGTTGATTACTGCATATCCCACCCACCACCTGTTTTTGTAAATAAATTTTATTGGAACACAGTTATGCTTACTGTGTACGTATTGTCTGTGACTGGTTTCACACGGCAACAGCAGGGCCCTGGAAGTGCAGTAGAGACCTCTGGCCCTTTCAGAAAAAGTCTGCCAACTTCTGGTGTATTCCATCAAACTTTCTTGAGGAAAAATACTGAGCTGAGGGACTATGTAAATTATAAAAGAATATACATGCATCTTCCTCTATTTTTACATATATAACATTTTACGTATATATGAACATATATAACATGGTTCCATTCCATTCTTCTTTTATTCAATAGTGTGCTTACAAAGACTATTCCATACGCTCTCCCTTTTTAACAGCTACATAGGATTCCACCATTGATGCAGCATAATTTCTTTAACAAACCACCATGCGGTGGATGTTTCCGCTGTTTCCTCCAGCTGTTCTTTTTTTTTTTTAATTTTCTTGGCTGCACCCTGTGGCATGTGGGATCTTAGTTCCCCGACCAGAGATTGAACCCACACCCCTTGCATTGGAAGCTCGGAGTCTTAATCACTGGAGCACCAAGGAAGTCCCCTTCTTCCAGCTGTTCTTTGAAGGGGACTCCATTCTTTGCTTTAGGCTCTGACACCAAAGTCCAGGCTGGGGGCTATTTAGGAGGTGGGGTCTGCATTGCACTTAGGTTCTCTACAGAAGCTCAGGAGCGTTAGGGGTGGATGCAGGAGCCTACCTAGCCGTGCTGTACGTGGCCTCAGGCCACTTAGAGACAGGACAGGTAGCAGCCACGTCGTCGGGGAACAGACCAGTCTCCTGCAGGCGGGTCTGAGCTGGGCAGGGGGCCATCGGGAGTGAGCGGGCAGGGGGCACCGAGAGGACACCCCTGGCAGGCTGTGCCCATCCTGCAGCGCCAGAGGCTCAGCGGTGGATGGTCTCCACCGGCCGTGGAGCCCAGGACAAATACACGGGTTGGAAAGAGCTAACAAGCTCCAGTTCCAGGCCAAACATGAGGCTTTTCACACCAAGGCCACCAGTTTCAGATCGCAGAAAACCCCACTGAAGGCTTGTTGCTCAGCCTTCCCAGTGCTGTGGGTCTGTAGAGCGACATTCCAAAAGGGAAGTGCGCCAGTGCAGGACCTGCAGCCTCTGAGAGCGTGGACCAGGGAGGGGCGGGGGCGGCCCCCAGCTCTGAAGAAACCACTCTCTCCCCTTCTCCACCTCTGCTGAGCACACACCAGACACTGTCAGGTTGTCGAGAATAAAGCAAGCGGCCACCACGCCATGGAGGGATTGCTCAAAGGGAAGGTGGTCAGCACGTTCTGAGCGCTTTTCCAGAGCCTGGCCCTGCTCCCCATGCGGTCACATCCTGGAGGAGAGAAGAGACCTCAGGGACAGTGAAGTGACCTCCTGTGAGGGGCTGGAGTCCAAACCCAGCTCTCCAGGCAAGCACGCAGCACAGCCCATCGCCGCCAGGTGTCGCGCTGTCTCACACCTGCGTGGTTCAGAAGTCCACGGAGGGTCTCAGGGAGCCAAGGTCAGGGCGTTGGCAGGATGCGCTCCCCTTGGAGGCTTTGGGAAGAACCCACGCCCCTGGCTTTTTCAGTCTCTAGAGGCCACTGGTGTTTCTTGGCTTGTGGCTGTTCCTCCATCTTCAAAGCTGACAATCCATCTTCACATCTCCTCCTCCGACACCCCCCTTCTGATCCCCTCCCACCGGTGAGGACCTGAGATTGCGCTGGGCCCACACAGATATCCAGGACCACCTTCCCATCTTAAGGGTATCTGACTGGCAATTAATTCCCCTTTGCCATCAAAGGTTCCATGGGTCAGCATGCACACGTTTGGGGAAAACCATTGCTCTGCCTACACACCATCTAACACGTAGGATTGCCCATAAAGCACATCCGTTCACAGCCTGTGTGGGATTTCACGTGGATACCAAGGGCCGGGGCCACTGGGACACAACAGCAGGTGTAAATGCAGGCGCTGTCGGATGCCCCATAACATCCCTGTGGGGGACAGTGAGAGGGAA